TTTAGGGTAGAATGATCATTTGGTCAAATATAATGAAGGAGGCCTTGTTTAGTAACAGTCCATGTCCCAAAAAGCTGAAAATTTTAGTTGGCCAAGCTTTAAAGGAAATTTCTGGAGTAATGGTATTCTATATCTTGATAGGGAGTGGATTACACAGGTGTATGGATTTGTCAAAACTCAGTGAATGCACCATGAAGACTAAGGTTTCATTTCACATCAAAACAAACAGTAAAACATTAATTACTAAAAAACAAGTTAGTGAAAAACAAATAGTGAACTCTAGTTAATGTTTAAGAAGAAAGAATTCTGCTTATATCTGCAATTTACATTGAAATACATTAAAAAAATAAGACGGATTGACAGTGGATAGAGGGCAAGATACGCACATGACTCAACAAGCACCCTAAGATGTTGGTGATGGATTCTAAGTGATGGTTCCATGCAGTGGTGGGCCTGAGCTGGCTTACATAGGCTCCCCAGAGTTGATATTGCACAAATCTCCCCCCAGTCACATTGGTAACTTGAAATTAGCAATGACAAAAACATTCCCACCACAGAAATCAGCCAACAATACAGATCAGATTTTTTGTTTTCCCTCCAGAGAGACAGTTTACAGACACACTGCTGTGTATGTGAGTTGTTGATTGTAAACTTCTTTCAACTTTGCTGTATGCTTGCAAATTTTCATAATAAAATATTGGCAAAAAGTATGACTTGGTGTGCTCTCACTGATGAAAAAATAAATTAACCGTCAGTTTTTCAACTTTCGCCTTTGAATAAGATTTAGCAAGGCATTCCTCTGACTGCAACAGCTAGGGGGAAAAATGATATATCACAAAAATCATGTTTTTATAAACAGTATGGAGAATCATAGAGGCAAAGGAGACTAAAAAAATGAAAATTCCAGAGGGGAATAGCTCCTGCAGAGTGAAATGAGTGTGCTGGCAGTTTTCTTTCCAAGGGGCATTTGCTGAGGTCGTCTGAAGAGTGGCCTTATTGTGAGCAGAAGAAAAGAGAGAGGAGACCCAGGGCCCTGCAGGCTGGCATAAGAATGGAACATCCAGAAGTCCCTAAAGCATGGCTGACCTTCCCTGCAGGGCAGTTATTGCATCTGGGGTGAGACAGAACACTGAGGGGCTGAGCCAACCAGGAAGACTGAAATCTCCCATAGCCTCAGAGTGCCTAGGAGTCAAAGTCACAGTAGAGGAAGAGGCTGGCAACCACACCCAATGGGACCCCAATGAGAACACTTGGCAGATTTTGAATCCATGTGATGTGGAGGTTAAAGAGCTCAGCTTTCAGGGAAGAGGTGACAGAGACACAACAGGAACTCAATCCAAAGCCTAGGAGAACTTGACTCAGCTTTATTGAGGGTTTGGGATGGAGGGTGGTTTATACAGGAAGGGGGCTGGACTGGGAGAGATGAGTCAAATCCCCCTCAGTATCATGTTCCTTAACAGTCAAAGTCCCCTGAGAGCCAGGGTGTCCAATCTTTTGGCTTTTCCGGGCCACTATGGAAGAAGAAGAATTGTCTTGGGCCACACATAAAATACACTAACATTAACAGTAGCTGATGAGCTAAAAAAAGAAATTTGCAAAAAAATCTCATAATGTTTTAAGAAAGGTTATGAATTTGTGTTGGGCTGCATTCAAAGCTGTCCCATGCTTCACGCAGCCTGTGGGCCACGAGCTGGACCAGCCTGCACTAGAGAAAGAGGCCCATGCTACCTGTGCCCCATGTGTCCCCCAGGAGATGGTCAAAACCAGAGTGCGTTACACCCAGCTGCAGTCCCAACCGTGACCTAGTTCACTTCCTCACAGCATCCAGTGATACCCCTGTACTGTCTGCCTAGCTAAGGAAAGGGCAACCTTTTTCTGGGGGAGAAGAACATCAACTTCAGTAGCCTTTTATACATAACAACAACAACATCTGACAAACAACCCTAAGTAATGAGATGCAAGAAGTAGGAAAATGTGACCCACGATAAATGGGAAGACATATGAGAAAGCAGATGCACAAAGCAGCCAACGGTTAGAGTTAGCAGAGAAGGATTTGAAGGCAATTATTATAAATACATTTTTAAAAATAGAGAAAAGGTTGAAAAAACAGATGGAAAGATAAGTAATTTTGACAGAGGAATGGAATTTATAAAAAAAAAAAAAAGAAGAAGCAGCAGCAAATGGACATTCTAGAACTGCAATCTCTGAAAATAAGAACTCCCTAGATGAGTTTAACAGTGGATAGAACATAGCAGAAGTCAAGTCCCTGAACTTCAAGACATGCCAATAGAAAAAAATATATATATTGAAAGGCATATGGAGGAAAGAAATGGGCAGATTATAAGAGATGTTCAAAACACAGAGAGAAGGTCCAACAAACATGCAATTGGTATCCCAGAAGGCAAGGAATAGAGAATGAGAAAGAAAAAGAAGGCAAAGCTCTTGCAGAGAAAGATGTATTACACTCAGAGTGGAAGGTCCAACGCTGGTCATTTCCCCTACTCATTGATTAGCACTGGGCAAAACCCTTATCTCCTCTGATCTTCCTTTTTCTCATCTGTAAACTTGAATTAGTAATATTTATTTCTCAGAACTTTTAATGATATCATCTATAGATAACAAAGCTACAAGGTGAATTTTTAAAAAATTATAGTCATTATTTTCATCATTATTATGTTTTCACTCAGTTACTCTAGTGAACCAGCATGCCATCATTATCCCTAGGACACTCCAGTATAAAATTACCTATGAGCCAAAATGAAAATTAAATTCTGCTTAGGTTGTGTCTCCTCTTCATTCTAAAGTTTTTTTATTTTTACAGCACGTGTCCTCATATTTTTCCCATTTCTGTAACAGGCAAGTTCTATTCCAGAAATCACTGAATACTAAAGTTAGAAGGATGGCAAAGGATTTCCTTCTGGAGACCATTTCTTGGGACTTGAAATTCCTGAGTGGAGGGCACAAGAGTCAGAGTGGAAAATATGCCCCCAGCTTGAGTTAGGGAGTGCTGAATTCATTCACATTTCTTAATCATTTAGTTTCCAGTCACATTAGAACTGAGTGAAAGCCCAGAATTGTATCAGGAAGGGTGCACCCATCAGACTGACGAAAATTTCATGCAATTGTGAGCATATATGTATGTTTATATGCACAGAAAAAGTCCTAATGGAACTCATGCCTGGGAAACAAGATTTTAGCTGGAAGATTTGTAACTACAGAAACCCACGCGTCCAGTTTGCTGATTTTTATCTATCTAGTAGAATTCTAAACCACTGTCTCCAAATCCATTTATACTCTTGTTGTTGTTTTTACAAAGAAATAAATAATAAAAGATAGAGATTGAGCAGGTGGGAATAAAACAATAGGAAAAAGGATGGAGAAGAAAATGAAAGCAGGATGTCTGCTGGGGTTGCCAAAACAAAATCACTGGCCGTGTAGCTAAAACAATAAAAAATTTTTCTGTCACAGTTCTGGAGTCTGGAAGTCTGCCAGCAGGCTTGGTTTCTTGGGGGCCTCCCTCTCTGGCTTGCAGATGGCGGCCCTCTACCTGGGCTTCTTGTCCACTGGCATTACTAGTGTCTCTTTTTCTAGTAAGGACGGCAGTCATATTGCATTAGGGCCACACCCATGGGCCCTAATTGACCCTTCATTCCCTCTTTAAGGTTCTAATTAAACCTTCATTATCTCTTCAAGGTCATATTGGGAGTTGGGGCTTCAACATACACATTTTGAGGGACACAGTTCCGACCATAACAAGCAGAGTGAAATAAGGGTGAAGTGTGAGTGAATGGCCTCATAGCTGAAATGCTTGGCTGCATCCACACCAGCACCACATTGACCAACCCAGCAGATGAGAAAGCTGCAGACCTTGGCTGCTTTTCTTTCTTGAGGGTTTGGGATTTAGGTTAGTGACAGTCCGTTGGTTTTGTCAGCTGAGGTGCACGGGTTTGGGGTCCTGAGTCTTTTCTCTTCTCACATTTCTGATGCTCCACTCTCTGTTTTTTTCCCAAATCTTACCTTCTGAGAAATTGAGAATTCCGGCCATTCTAAGTATGCCTCCAAAATCAAGCTACCAAACTCTGGGTGAGCCATGTGTAGGACAGGGAGCCACAGGACACCTGCTGTAGGCATTGAATTCCTGAATGGTGGGACACTGTGTGTCTCTGGCCCTATTCCCTCTCCAGGACAAACCTCACCCTTTCCTGCAAATGTACTTGAAATAGTACATTTACCCAGGTCAATTCAGCAAAGGCTGCAGATCCTGGGACTACAGCAACTCAGACACTCTTCTCAGCAAGCTCATGGTCCAGTGGAGAGCACAGACAAACAGCAAGGCAGGAGAAAGCACGTCTGAAGAGCCCAAGGAGCAGCATGGGTGAAAACGCAGGGTGAGAGCAGGGCCTTAGGACTGGGGGAATCAGGGTATGCTTCAAGCAAAGAACTTTCAGGTATGAGGCCATTCACTAACCCTCGGGGAGGACGTGGAACGATGAACAGGAATTTGGGGAATGGGTGGAGTGTGGGATGGAGGGGACTGAGTGCGAAAGAGGTAAGGGTGACCTATTCCACTCGGATGGAAAGTGTGAGTGAATTCACAGAAGCAGGGCTGGCTGCAGCAGAGAAATGTCTTCTGAATCAGCTCATGAGCTACTCATGACCATCAGCCTTGCTGCTTTATCAACATGTTTTTGAACAAAACTGCAAATCTGAAATTGACACTTCACCCCCTTCACCAAGTTTGGCTCTGAGTTACCTTCAGATTCCTATGGAATTCCAAGCTACCCTCAAAGGACTAAGACTCGCCATGATTGAGGATATATATAAAAATATTATTTATGTGCCTGGAGCTCAGAAAGCAATTTCCAAAGAGAATTTCTAAAGCTGTTCTGAGCATTATAGGGCCTCTGGAGATGATGGATTTTTTCCAAACATATAACAGAACTCTACACATCCTAATGAAAGTTCACAGCAGTAACATCACTCTTTTGTCTGCCTCTTACCTCCTAGCACTTCTGGAGTCTGCAGGGCACATGAAGGAGTATAAGGCCTGAGTTTTGCTCTCGTTAAGCTCACAGTCTCGCTGCAGAATCAATCCTGACAGAGGGAGAGCTTGGCAGTCCATCCATCCCATTATTAAAGTCTTTCCACAGCTGGTTCCCAATCTCACCTGGAGGGGTGGGTATAACAGAGTAGTAAGGCACACGGGAGCCAAATAGACCAAGGTCTGAGTCCCATCTCTGTTTCTTGCAGGCTGTGTGATCTTGGGCCAATTGTTTGACCTCTCTGAGGCTCAGTGTTCTTTTCTGTGACGATAATAGATGTAACAACTACTTCATAAGGTCCTGTGAAGATTAAATCAGCTGTGCACACGAAACATGCAGCACTTCACCTGGAACAAAGGTTGGGCTTCGTGACTATCCCGGCAGGACCAGTTAAGGCCAACATAAGATTCACAGAAGGGAGGCAGACACCGCCCACCCAGGTTAGGCCCCACCTGCTCCCTGCCACCAACCAAAAGAAGAGCGGGCCCCTGCACTTTCCAAACTGCCCTCTGCTCTGCACAGGACTCCTGCAGCAGCAGGATGCCTCCCAGGTTCCCAGCAGTCTGCTACATCACCGATACTGCTTGTGCTTGCCGTTGTACAAGGCAGTTGTGCAGCTGCAGGCTGCCCCAGGCCAGTCAACTGCTAGTGTAGAACTCAACTCTTGCTACTTTCCTGACAAGCACAGATTTTTGCTGCTTTACCTCAATCTGACCATCCCCTCAGACCTTTGCACACCCCAGGAGTGTCAGGATCTAAGGTCAGCTCCTGGGGCTTCAAGAGCCACCTTTGTTTTCCTTCTACTTCCCCAGCAACTCTACAAGGGCTGAATGCATCATGTTTCAGGAAACCCTGGAGGAGGGAGACCCCGGGTGCCTATGGATACATTAAAAGGAAAGAAAGAAAGTGCAGAGCTGGTTGGGTCACTGCCGCCCAGACAGGGGCAGAAAGCAGTCACGCGGAGCTGTACAAGTGTTTCCATTCAGGATGAGTCACAAACCCTGGACCCTGAAACAACTTGGCAAATGGAAAGCCAAAGGGATTGTTCATGATGTCTGTGTGGGTCCCCACTGCCACGTTTCAAATACCATCTCCCCCCACGCCCCCCTTTTATGCTCAGGGAAGGACAGGCACATGCACTGACCTGATCCCACTTGCCCAGGAAGCTGACTGCAGGGCAGGGTCGGGGCCTCTCTGGGGTATCTGTAAAGGGTGAGCTTCTTTATAGAGCTGGGTCAGGCTGGCTGCAGCCCATGCACCAGTCCTCTGAGATGTCCTGAGCTTGGGGAAGGGGTGCCTGGGTGAGGGTAGGAAACTGCAGTTTCAGAGGAAGAGGTGACTTGCCAACAGTATGCAATGCTGCATTCAGTAGGCACGGCACCTGCCTTTCCGAAGCCTATGCTGAAGTGACCAGAAAATAACAGTCTTCCAGTATGTATGTCATACTCTCGCCAGGGTTTTCACGTAAGAAGACCTTTGTCCTCAAACCCTTTCTGCTGTTTCTCCTTAACACGTCCTGCTCTCACCTGCCCTCTGTACATCCTCTGCTACCCTCAGGCTCCAGCCCTTGCCAGCTCTGCCTGCAGGTGCAAGAGTCTCCTAAATACTGTTCCTGCTCCTGTCCTTACCTCACCCTATCTATTCTCTCCAAAACAGCCAAAAGGAACTTTTAGAAATGTCAATGGGATGAGGTCCCCTCATAGTTTAAAACCCCTTCCACAACCTGCTCAGGGCCTTCTCCACCCTCGCTGCTCCACTCTGAGTTTCTGGAACAGAACCAAGTTTGCTCAGGGCCTTGCAGTTGCCGTACCCCGCACCTCTTCTCTCAACAGCTCCCTTTGTCACTCGAATCTCACTTCACTTGTGACCCTTTCAGAAAAGGCTTCCTCACCACCCCCACCCCAACTCCCAAAGCACCAACATTTTCTCTACAGGCAGAAACTATACAACTAAAAACACATAAACAGAATTTAATAAGTTTAGAATAAGATAGTAAGCTCTGCAAGAGTAGCTCCCATCTCTCCTGTTAATCGCACATAATTGGCACTCAGTATTTACAGAATAAATCCTACCCCATGCAAATTAGGGTGCCTACATTTCTTGGTGGAAGAGCCAGGAAGTTTCCTGCCCAGGCAGAGGGGGCCAGGCAAGCTGGCCATAGGCACAAGAAGCCCAGCGAGGACGCGGAGCTGCACAGTCCCTGCCTGGAGTGCAGCCCCCACCTTGGAGGGATTCTCAGGGAACTAGAGGCCACTGATGCCCAGTCATTGGCTGAATCTGGTGAAAATGATTTTGTTCATAGTTGCTTGTTCTTCTCCCAAGTTCCTCTCTCCACGAAGCTCCTTGAATGTACATTCAGGAATTTATCATCATGGCACTTTTTCTTGTCTGTTTCTAACCTATAATTCCATATATATATACACATAAAAAACAAGGGCTCTGGAATGGATCTCTAAATTCCCTTCAGAGTCAGCATTTGATGGTTTACGTGAAAATGTGTTCCACCTGGAATCAGGGTGCATTTGGGTCAAGCCTTTAAAAAAACAATTCAGGCTTAGCTGGGCCATCCAGAAGAGATTACAGACGCTCCTGCACAGCGGGTATCCCAGGTAATGGGGCTCTCACTCACCTGACCCAAGCGCAGTGTGAAACAGCATGAGATGATGATGAGGCCCGGATCCTGACCCCTCCAGGGCTCAGTATTTAGCTTCCCTGTGCTTAGTTTTCTCTTCCTGGAATGTCTCTACTCTAAGCGGAGACACCATTAAAAAGGGTTTTAAATTGAGCAATGAGAAACATTCTCCGCACGAGATTATGAAGTCCACACAGGAGACTGGCGGTTCTTCAGCTCAGAGGCACCTGGGGTGCTTGTTAAAAGTGCAGTCTCCGGCTCACTTCCAGAGTGCTGACTCGGTGCACTGGTGGCACCTAAGAATCTCTGTTCATGAAGCTTCCAGTGATTCTGGTGCAGAGTTTGTAGTGGAAAACTACCCACACTCGGTGTGACAGAACCTGTCCCCTGCAGAGACATGGATTAGACAGGCTCTAGGGCCCTTGCCTTGCCCGTCTCTTGTGTCTATAGGAGACACAGGAGGTTCTGAGCAGGCTCTTCGTGTGTGCCTCTAGCCACTGAGTTCCAGAACCCTCAGTCACCTGAAGGGCCTATCTACATGATGCCAGGTAGCTGGGCAGTTAGAGAAGACAAGGCCATTCGTTTCCAGAGCTACAGGATTAGTAAACCCAACTTCTAGTCCATGAAAATTCTTCATCTTTAGATCAGGGAACGCACCTTCAGGCTATCAACCCTCCAGAAAACAGGTGTGACTTCTGACCGTCCCCTCCTCTCCTGCTGAGCCAGCTGAAAGAATTTAAAGAACAGCAAGCTTGACTCTGCCCAAAGGGGTATTTTCCTCGTGTCTTCGGAGAATTTGGTTGCTCTACTCCCACTGTTTAGAGGTTATGGCAGGAATTTCAAAGCTCTTTTAACAAGTCTCTTATCCACCCTCATACACAAACCTACAAAACCAAATTCATGGCGCACCTGTCTCCAAGGTTAGAGAATTCGACACGTAGGTAAAGAGTCATTAGAGCACATTTCCCAAGAGCAGCCCCACTGTTTCTCACTGTCCACATAACCAAGAGCCTGCAAGAATACTGAAAACCTCCACCCCAAGGGTGGGGACAGGAATACGCCAGAACCCACGCAGCGTTATTCATTATGCACCCGAGAAACTGACCCACCCGCAGGAACAGCCGCACGGGCTCTTTCGGGCCTGACCCCTGAGAACCCTCTCCACAAGCAGACCCAGTACCTCCCCAGGGCTCACCCACCTTAAGGGATCCATCTGGGGCAGATGGGGAGCAGGCAGCCCTCAGAGAACTTCTACGAGTCTGTGGGTCCACAAAACAGACCTAGAGAAAGAAAATCCAAGGCTCAGGACTTCTTTTGTCTTCATGGTGAGACTTCTCCTCCTCTCTGCTCTTGCAGTTCCACATCCAGCCTATAAAAAATAAAAAGCTGAGAGAATGAGAGCAATCAAGGAGCGTTCTTCCCATCGTGGCCCTTCCCACACAGGCACCAGGAGTACCTCTGGGCCACAGCCAGTAGAGTATGTCTAGCATTGCCATTGACGCAAGGAGCGAACTTCTTGGGCGCTAGGCCCAGGCAGCTCTGAAGACTCCAAAGAGCAAGAGTCCAGTGAAAGGGTAATGATGTTCATAAATCATCCAGATGTCAGCACCAGGACAGGAAGTGCACCTACCCAAACTGCAAGGCCAAGGTCATGAGCATCCTACACTTCAGGGAGAGAACAAAGAAGACACGCTGCTGATGCCTCCCATGGGCAGCAATGGGCGAGGGGCACTTTCTAGAACCAGCAGGTTCTGGTCCCCAGAGGTACCGCTGAGAGCAATAAATGCACCGGCTCTGTTGGATCTCAGAGAAGGACTACCAGATTTCTTTCATTTAAGCAGTAGAAGCATTGTTGGCAAGATAATCCTTGCATTTTCTTATTGAGTTCCAGAAGCCGTTACTACACACCAGTGAGCCAAAATAGCTAGAATTCTGGAGTCATACGGGACCCTATAGATGTGGGACCCAAGGACATACGTCCACAGGGAGAAGGTAACACAAAGGGAGGACTGGGCGATGGTGAACTGGAGGTGCAGATGCCATGGAAAGTTGCCAGCCCTGCTCAGCCCCTGTGCTAACTCACTGTTACCACGTAAGAAATTGGTGCCAGGTTTGTCAGAGCTAATGATTTTTCAATATAAGCCCCAAATTCAGATTTTTATGTGAAATTTCCCAATTTTAAAATGTTGGCAACCAACTCAATGTTATTTAAAACACTGTGCAGGCCAAATTAAACCCATCTGGGGAATGGCAGATGTGGCCTCTGGACCTGCAGCTCATGACTTCTGATACGCATCAATTATTTCATAACCAGTCATGATAATAGCTGACGTTAACTGAGTGCTTCACACATATTATTCCATTTAGTCTGTACAGTTGAGGAAATTAAGTTGATAGGAGAACAGGTAACTTCTCCAAGTTTGCATGGCCGTATAAGTGGGGGAGCCAGGACAAATCCAGGTCTGACTAACGTCAAGTGCTCTTAGCCATTGGTGATATTGCAGTTTCAGGAACAAACGGTAGTTGCCCTTAAACCCATTCACTCCAGGGGATGGCACGCTGAAATTGACAATGGATATTTGAACTGCTTAGTGTTTCTGGGAGGGCAAGACCCGGAAAGACAGGCTAACAAAAAAGAAGCTACCGACTTGCTTGTGAGCAATGACAGGAAAGTTGTATTGAGAGTATCACCCACTCTCCACAGTGCAAAATTTCCCCCTGGCCCATTGGGTGAGTGTTCTAGCTCCGTGCTTTTTGGAGTGGCTAGTGGATCAGCTGTATTGACTTTACTCAGAGCTCATGAGAAAGGCAGAATCCCAGCCACACCACATTTCCCGAACAGGTCCGGGAAGCGTGGGAAGCCTGCGACTCACCCCTTTCTGACTTGTCCTCCAGTCTGATGTTGCCTTTCAGCTCCTACCATCTTCCCCATAAGATAGCCATCTCCCTAAAGACAGAGTCTTCATCAGCCATTTCTTTTTTGCCTCTTCCTGGGTGTAGCCTACAGTCAATCGGGTCCCATCAACCCAGTGGCAAATAAGGAGCTCAAACTAGAAGAAGTGATGTGTTCCTAAACCCGCAGCCACACAGGTTAGCTCTGGCCAGCAGGTGCATGGAAGGCCCTTGGAAATACAAGAAAAACCACAACGATATTTTAAGTTCCCCAAATCTTCTTGTGCTGTAGGGATAAAAGTGGCACTTGTCAGCCGGCAGCTCACACCTATAATCCCAGCACCTGGAGAGGCTGAGGTGGGAGTCTCGCCTAAGGCCAGGAGTTCAAGACCAGCCTGGGCAACATAGTGAGACTCTGTCTCTACAAAAAATAAAAAATAAATTAGTCAGCTGTGGTGGTGCATGCCTGTAGTCCTGCCTCCTTGGGATGCTGAGGCAGGAGGATTGCTCGAGTCCAAGAAGTCAAGGCTGCAGTGAACTATGATCCCACCACTGCACTCCTGCACTCCAGCCTGGGTGACAGAGTGAGACCTTTTTTCTAAAAAACAAAACAAACAAAAAAACTAAGGTGGCACCTGCACCCAAAAAGTGTATCTACTCCATAGGCAGAAAATGATGGCTGCTGTAGGCTCATTGATTCTAAAAATTGTTTGTCTGCTCTGAAGGGAAGACTTGGATTCTTGGCAGGGCAGAAGTTCTTGGCAGAAACCCTTGCAAAATGCTAAGGACATAGCTGTGAACCCGGAACTGGGTGCTGGGGTGAATCCCGCCTGCCTGGACTGCAGCTGGAGGATCAGACAGCCGCACACCCGGATTTCTCATCTCCTGCTCGTAGACCTTCCCGCAGAATCTCTTTGCACCATGGCACATGGTTGGTTTTTGTTACTGTTGTTCCAGAAAATGGGGCAAACTCCTGTCCTTGACTCTCCTGCCATCGCTGCTAAACTTCCAACCATCTCTGTTTGTTGGGATACCGCGGCAGAGAAACATCATAGCTGTGCAAAGGATGGACAGGTCAGCGGGCTCACATCCCCGCCAAGTCTCCCAGGTCTCCTCAGTCATCATGGTTTGCAGGAAAATTCTCCCTGCCCCTCAGGCAGCCTGAATTCCTTAAGCACATATGTCACCTCCAGCTCCTGCCACAGCCCTCACCTGCCTGGGAGACTGTAATCGCTCAAGGAAAAATCAAGTCAAAGTTCCCAGCGCCCCTCTCCCCACAGACCCTCGTTGTGCACACATGCAGCTGGAAAGCCTCTCCTGGCTCCGAATCACCGTGGCTTTCCATTCCAGTGAGACTGTGATGTTGCTGTGGAAACAGCCAGTGAGGTGTTGCTCTGGCCACATCCCAGGCAGAGGGCCCGCAGCCCACACCACAGTCACGCTGGGCACTGGTAGCCAGGAACCCCTCGCCGCCCTCACCACCCAGGGCAGTCCCGAGCCCCAGCGGGGCTGTTAGTAGCCCAGTGTGTGCCTGTGCATCATAGCTCGGGGGGTATGTGTGTGTGTGTGCGTATCATAGTCCAGTGTGTGTGTGCATCATAGTCTGGTGTGTGTGTGTGCATCATATTCTGGTGTGTGTGTGTGCATCATAGTCCGCTGTGTGTGTGTGCATCGTACTGTGGTGTGTGTGTGTATCATATTCCAGTGAGTGTGTGTGCATCATAGTCCGCTGTGTGTGTGTGCATCGTACTGTGGTGTGTGTGTGTGTGCATCAGTCTGGTGTGTGTGTGTGTGTGCATTAGTCTGGTGTGTGTGTGTGCATCACAGTCTGGTGTGTGCATCAGTCTGGTGTGTGTGTGTGTGCATCACAGTCTGGTGTGTGTGTGTGTGCATCATAGTCTGGTGTGTGTGTGTGTGCATCATAGTCTGGTGTGTGTGTGTGCATCACAGTCTGGTGTGTGTGTGTGTGTGCATCATAGTCTGGTGTGTGTGTGTGTGCATCGCTGCACATGATTGTTTTCTTTTCGCCTTAGCCCAACCCCTCCAAGCACACAAAAGGCACATTCTTGGGAGAAAAAATGTATTTTTTTCTGCATTCCAGCTGCCTGAGCTAAGCGTAGGAATGAATGGTTTGGGAAAAATCTCACACAGGAATAAATTTACAAGGGACAGCTGAGCGGATAAGTTCAGTCCCTAAAGAGGGGCATTACGAGGGCTTTTGGCAGGAGACTTGCCCCTTGTGCAAAGCTGCCTAAAAAGAAAAACAGAGCAAGAGCAGCTGTGGTGGTGCATGCCTGTAGTCCTGCCTCCTTGGGATGCTGAGGCAGGAGGATTGCTTGAGTCCAAGAAGTCAAGGCTGCAGTGAACTATGATCCCACCACTGCACTCCTGCACTCCAGCCTGGGTGACAGAGTGAGACCTTTTTTCTAAAAA